TCATGAGGGTCCATCTAAGATCAACTATTAGTCTCTCCCATCCTCCCAAGTAATCTGTTCAATGGATATCAGTGTATCAGCCTACTCTGTGTTGGCTTTCCTACCCTTTCTACAAAATCTCCTGGTCCACTAAAGTAATCCATATCTTACTAATGGTCTGAAACGGTTTTACTTATTTCATACCAACTCTGGATGATCTCTTAGTACTCACCCCTTCCACGGATACACTTAGATTCCTTAGAAAGTGAGAAAACCACATCAAGTTGATTGGTGTAACTATAAATTCACAAACAATACTATTATGAATTCAAGCAGGTCCCCAATATTACTCACCAATCCTCATTAGAATGCAATCTAACTGCTACCTCATCTTAAAAGCATTTGATGACTGACAACCTTCCCATTCTTCCTACATAAAAATATGTATTATATCAGACCCCATCTTCTAACTTTACTTTACTCTCGCAGGTTCATTTTTTCTTTACCCATACATTAAAAGCTCCTCAGAGTTCTTTTTGGAGCCACTATGTCATCTTATTATCTTACCCTGGATATTGCATCTACTCCTGTAACTTTAATTACCATCACTTACCACAAAACTCTTGTGGGATTTGTTATGTCCCACTTTCAAATGAATACCTACAAAAATATCTAAATTCCAACAGGCATCACAAGCAATTGCTCAAGCCAGAAACCTGGGACTTACTTTAGACTCTTTTCTTTCTAGTCCACCTCCAATACTAGTCCACCTCCAATACGCTACCAAAGTTCTCCTGTCAACCCATTTCCTTCCATCCTCACTAGTTCAATGTCCTCATCTTGCACTCTGGGCTCCTACAATACCATTGCTCTCATTAATCCCACTCGATCAGACCCTGTCCATAGGTGAGAAAGTGAAAGCTCTGGGAATATAATGACAAGACAGTGCTCGAGAAGTTCACAGACAAATGGACAGGGCAGTCACAATTTAGTATGGAAATGCTGAAGAAGTACTCTTCACACAGTGCTTTGAGAGTTCAGATGAAGAAAACGTTCCAAGATAGATACAGCTGATCCTCCTTATTCATTAAGTCCTGATTTGTGAAACTGCCTGTTGTTGTGAAGCGTTGTGTCAATTCTAACTCATTGGGACCAAATAGAACTGCCACCAAAGGGTTCCCTAGGGTGAAATCTTTATGAGAGCAGATCAAGTATTTTATTCTAGAGGGAACTGAACTACGGACCTTTAGGTTAGCAGTCAAGCACTATTTGTTAACACTTCATTTCATTTCAGTGATTGCAATCCCCTCCTTGAAACACGGCTATCCCACTTCCTCCCTCTGATTGTTTTCTATTCAACCTTCTTTTCTACCCCTTCTGAATTTTGGTCTTAGGTAACTGCTGCCCTTTTGATCCTGAATGGCTGACCATTCCATGATGCGCATTCCCAATAGTGCTGTTGCCCCCTTTATATACCTACTGAAACACTGGTGTGGCAATGTAGGATAAGCACTGGACTGTTATCCACCAAGTCGGTGATTCAAACCACCAGCTTATGCTTGGAAACCCTACACAGGGTTGCTATGAGTAGGAATCAACTCAATGCTACGTAACAACAACATACACCTATATACTGCTTGGCTGGAAACTGATCCACAAGGGTGAGTTCAGTTCCAGACCTTAAGGGTGACCAAGGATCATCATCTTGAGTCCCTGTCCCTCTATAGTTTCTTTCTGACCAGTAAATCTGGCTTAAAAAAAAAAAAACAGTATTTTTTTTAGGATCTATTTAGTGCCATGTGTTTTGCATTTCTGTGCTTTTTGTTGATTTTGCTGCTTTAAAATGGTCACAAAGTACAGTGCTGAAGTGTTGGCTAATGTTCCCAAGCACATGAAGGCTGTGATGTGCCTTAAGGAGAAAACACATGTGTTATATAAACTTTATACAGGCATAAGTTACAGTGCTGTTGGCTGTGGGGTCAATGCTAATGAGTTAACAATCAAAGGGACTTTAAAAAGTTAATGGAAAATGCAAGTTGAAAAAACTATGCATGGATTTCAAATATTTTTTGTACCAAAATAAATTCATAACTAACTTGTCATAAGTTGTCTGAACAGGACCTAGTTTGAGACATTAAGAAGGTCAAAATATCAGTTTGAAAAGATCCCCAAACAGAGCAGCATAAATTCTACTAAAATGGAGGCAAGTATAAGCATCAAATTTATATTGAAGGTTGGGTGGAAGACTGGTGAAATCACTGATGCCTTATGGACAATGCCCCAAAGAAAGAAACAGTTTACAAATGAATCGCTTGTTTTAAGAATGGATAAAACAATGTTGAAGATAAAGCCTACAGTGTTTGAGGAAACCAGCTTGTTGACACCTTAATTGAACAGGACTGATAATTAACAGCAGAAACAACATACGATATCCTACTCAACTCAACTGTTCAGTTCCGATTGAAAAATGGAAGTTGAGCAAACATTCTAATCACTGGGTACCACTACTGTTGCATTCAGATCAGCTGTACACAAGAGCAGAGCTTTCAATGAAAAATTTTAAACAGTGGGATCAAGATGCAAAAGCATTTCGTGGAACAACTGTAAACAGGAGATGAAACATGACTTTACTAATATGATCCTGAAGACAAAGCAAAATCAAAGCAATGGCTACCAAGATTTGGAAGTGGTCTAGTCAAAGAGCAAAGATCACGGCAAGTTTTTTGGGACGTTCAAAGCACTTTGCACGTTGACTTTCTAGAGGGCCAAAGAACAGTACCATCTGCTTTTTATGAGGGTATCTTGAGAAAGTCAGCCAAAGCTATAGAAGGACAACACCCAGTAAAGCTTCACCAGAGTCCTTCTCCACCACAACACTCCTGCTTATTCTCCTCATCAAACAAGGGAAATTTTGCAAGAGTTGCAATAGGCATCTACCTTACACAGTCCTGATTTGTCTCTTTCTGGCTTTTTTTTTGTTTCCTAACCTTAAAAAAAAATCTTTAAAGGTGTGCCCATTTTTCTTTGTTAATAACATAAAAAAAATTGTGTTGATTCGGTTCAATTCCCAGAACCTTCCATTCTATAGTGATGGTCTAAATGGCTGGATTCAGCACTTTAGAAAAAGTGTCTTGACCTTGATGGAGCTTATGCTGAAAAATAAAGTTTTTATTTAGTTAAAAAATTTTTTTATTCTTACCTTTCAGTTCCATTTTTCCACAAACTTTTTTTGTAAGCCCCCTTGTATATTAAATAAGGTATATATATTTAAACAGAAACCCATTTATGTAAACAGGATTATGTTTCACATGATGAAAGTATTCTAACTAGAGGTTCACAGGAAGCCTAACTCTGCCTTTCTCCTGGAAGCAATGGTTCAGTATTCAATAATTTGGTGTTCACAGTGACTTTACAGATCATAATGACTACTAATAATGAGAGTCACCTATATTTCAGCAGATTGATGTTGTTAAGTGCCATAGAGTTGGTACCAACTCACAGTGACCCTGTACAGAGTTTCTGAGGAGCAGCTGCTGAGTCTGAATCACTGACCTTGTGGTTCAAACTGACCTCCAGGTCCAGTGCTCATCCTACAATGCCACACCAGATTACATTTCAGCAGACTGCACGTGTAAATGCACTATACACTGTCTGCCAAAAGGTTCACAGCCCAGTTCCCAAAATCTGTCCCTTTATTGGAGGCATCCACTGGCTTAGAGCCCTTGAAACTATGTCCTACCAGTGGCTACTCTCAGTTGAACATTTTTACCAAGCTTATGGCAGATGCATTCACGTAAAACCTGGGTTATATCATCCAACTCCTCCTTCTCCTGGCACTAATCTTCCTTGCCCACAATTTCCCAGGATGTGCTGTCTTTGGAAGAAATGGACACTTTTGTCAGTGAACACTCCAATCCTGCCAACCACAACACTGCATCTATCAGTAATTTATGAACACAGACCTAGTTCCCTCCTAAACGCCCGCCAAGGACAGCTCAGAATCTATCAAAAATCTATAAATATTTTATGAAATGAGTTTGTTGAAGGGCCTATCTTGAGCTCTCCCAGAGCCTTACTCAGTCAACAAACCTATTCTTTATTGTTCAAGTTCCATTCCTCACTAAGGAAAAACTTCAAAGAATAAAGCTTACAATACATAATTTCTATAGTTAAGTTTTACTGAGCACCTCCTATGTTCTGAGCCAGGGCCATAGACTTCCTCAGTTAACCCACATAGCCACCACTTAAGACAAGAATCCTCAATATTTTCCAATTGAGGAATGTGACATTCAGAGATTAAATGACTCTCAGCTCTTAAGCGGCAGGCTGGGATTCACACCCAGGTCTGCTTGGCTCTGAAATCTTTTGTCCAGTCATACATCAGAGCCCCACAGGAAAATAGGTGCTGGGAGTGGTTTAGTCCATATAGTACCCAAGTTAAAGATGACAGAGGGCTCTGAGAGGAACCACTAGAGACATACATGCACAGTGCAGGGTACAGTCCCAGCAGTCTTGACTTACCACACAGCTGTGGAGGCAGTCTACATTCACCCAGAATCCCAGATTGGCATGTTGAGCCAAGATGCTGGTGGGGTACAAGGTGCCCTAGAGAAAAGAAGCAACACTGCTCCTCTACAGCCTTGAAGGCCTGGGAAAACTGAAGTGGAACGAGTAGAAGCTATGAGTGAGCAGAGGAGCTGGTCTGCAGGGTAGAGACAGCAACACAGAAAGCTCGCATGGCTCCTGAGAGAGGGAGAGAGATGGAATGTCCAGAGAGTCCTTGAATACAAAATCATCTAGTTTCCACAACACCTAAGGGGATCCATAATTCCTAGACATCCTTACGCTCTGAATGAACCCCTTAGTCTCCAGCTTGTATGAGTGACTTCATGCTTCTTTCAACTAAGGAAGCCTCCATTAGCTCAGGGGCTGAGCCAGGACCTTATCACACTTTGTACAGTCTTCAAGGCTTTGAGCCAGGAGTTCGAACCACATCTCCCCCTCGAAGGGAGGTCCAGCAGTCACCTGCGCTTGTAGAGACATGGCTGAAGCTTCAGGCCTGAGAGTTCAGCCTTGGGCCCCACACGAGGGGGTCCAGTCTTTTGGAAGTCAAACATGAAGAAGTGGCTGTTGCTCAGGTCCTAGGGGCAGAGAAGACTCAGTGAGATCCAAATTCTCATCGTAGCTGCTCAGAATACCTCGGTCCATTTCCTGCCCTTGTTCAGAAAGCTTCTCATGAGTTGTGCCTTAGAGAACAAATGATTGTTCTGTGCTCATAGCCTCCTTCCTATACATCATTCCTCTCAGCCACTTTCAGGAGACCCCCTGGTTTCAGCACTCGATTTGCCTCTTCCAGGAAGTCCCTGAGGTTGGTTCCCATCAGCGACAGGCAGAACACAGCCACATCCACAGACCCATCCTCCAGAGGCACCTGTGGAAGGAGGAACTGCTGAATGAAGCACACAGCTGGGCACACAGGGGCAGGCACATAGTGTGGGAAGGAGACAGCCAACATTGAGTTCAAGGTAGAGGCGGGCACCTGGGAGGGCGAGAGAAAGAGCAGTGGGGAGGGGTTTAAAGAAAGGAGCACAAGGACCTAGTGCACAGGCCAGATGCATAGAGAAATTTACCTGGGCCATGTCACACACAGTGACCCTGGGGTCCAAAGAGACCAAGTCAAAGCAGTGCACAGGGTTCCGGATACTGGCAGCCAAGTGGCAGTTTCCACAGCCAAAGTCAGCCACCACTAGGGATGCAGGCCTGCAAGTGGGAAAGAAGGATCACTCACTGGTCTGCTCAGAGTCATGACTGACCCACATGACTTCTCACAGCGCCCACCCTTCATTCACCGCTGGCGAAGATCCCTGATGATTCGGTCCACAGGCTGCAGCGGCCATTTTTTGACTTGGCTCTGGAAACCACGGTGGTAGAGGTGAAAAGCCTCTGGGTCTTCCTGGAACAGGCGCTGTGCAGCACTGCTGGGTCCTGAGTACAGCTGCTCATTAAGATAGCGAAATCGGGCGCCATCTAGTCGTTGGGCCATGCGAGCTCGTAGAGCACCCGCTCGATCCTCATGGCTGTCTGGCCTGGGAGCAGGAGGTACCTCTGATTCCTCTGTTGAAGCCGGGGCTGGGGCTGGGGCTGGGGGCTGGGCTGCTGGTTGAAGGGGCCGAAACTTGTTCTTGTGTCTCCGCTTGTTCTTCTGCCGGTTCCGCCACTGCTTGCGACTCAAGGTATGGAGTGATTGAGGGGAGGTAGACCCAGGGTTTGGCTTGTGTGGGTCTTCTGTAGCACTACCTTTCTGGGCTTTGGAACCTGCAGGTAGGGAGATGGGAAGGTGTACTTGGGGCAAGATCCTTTGCACAGACATTTGGAAAATCATCTTGGCCACAATCCTGTCCTTGTTTGTTTTTTTAAATTGTGATAAAATACACACAACAAAACATTCACCAATTTCTACATGAATAATTCAGTAACATGAATTACATTCTTCATATTGTGCAACGATGTTACTATCCTTTAATGCACGTCCATTAACATAAATTCGCCATTCCCCAAGCATATGCCTGTCCTGAGTCAGACTTCAGCCTGAATAAAAATAGTTTGTATTGTCTAGCCCTAACCCTAAGGTACCCTGACGGCACTGTAGGATAAGCACTGGACAGCTAACTATAAGCCTGGCAGTTCAGACCCATTAGCTGCACTGCAGGAGAAATATGAGGCTTTCTGCTCCCATAAAGATATACAGTCTCAGAATGCCTATACAGGGTGGCTAGGCGTGGGAATAGACTTAGTGGCAGTGGGTTTGGTTTTGGGTTGTGGTACCTTGGATTTACTTGATAGGGCTTTTCTATCCAATGTCTTTTGAATTCTCACCAAATGACTGAGGTGGGGCCATGTAAATAAGGTGTATAGGACTCTGTGGCAGGGCTTGGTTAGTTTTGCCATCCAGCTAGGCAACAGGAACAAAGGATCCCAGGACCATCAAGAAAGAAAAGTATGAGTGGAGTGTGAGCTCCCTAGATAGAAAAGCAGTGATAGCAGAGGTGGCGTCACGGAGCAGCAGAGGAGCTGCAGGCTTCCAGGCCCAGGGACCAAGGAAGCCTGAGCACCTAGGAGCAGGAGGCTGGTTTGCATTCACAGACTGGATAAACAGCTTTGTAACACTTGCCCAAGAAGGACAGAAGTCAAGGGGCCACATGGCTGAGAAGTCGAAGACAAGAGTGAGGTGTGCCTAACTGGAGATCTGCTGTGTCCTGAATTGTCTCTGATCCTGAATTGTACCCTGTTCACTTCCCTAATAAACCCCACAATCATGAGTATTGTTATGAGTTCTGTGTGGCCATTGCAATGGATTATTGAAGCCAGAAGTGAAGCAGACAGTGCTGAGATGGTTGGTGTCAGAATAAAGAAGGTTGTAGCTTATATCACTTCATAGTAATAGGCCTTGGGCTGATTTTGAGTTTGTTTCTCTTTCCCCCTTATGAAGTCAGAGAAAGTCAGACACGGCTCCAATACTGTTCTGACAGGTTTAACCCCAATCATATATAGGATTAGCTGATCTCCCTTGCTCTCCTCATATACATATGTACGTATCCAGTAGTACCTGTTTGGTCAGCACTGTCTAGGTGCTGGGCTCCGCTTGAAGGGACCTGTCTCCTCTTTCTTTTCTCCTCTTCAACATAGTCACTACCAAGATGAGACCTTTTGCAGTCTTTCTTCTTTAGTTCTACTTTCTCGTCCTCAGAATCACTCCGAGATGGAGCCTGTTTTGGATGTTTTTTCTTCCTTTTCTCCTTTGTTTCAGTAGAGGCAGTGGCAAACAAGGCCTTTTTTTGCTGTTTCTTCTTCCTTTCTATCTCCTCCTCTTCCTCAGAGTCACTGCCAGGTAAGCTGGGGGGTTGCTGGGGGAGAGATGCAGCTTCTAGGGCCCTTAAGGTGGCCAAGAGTTGGCGGTGCTTGGAATGCTGGGGGTAAACAAGGGATGAAAGTGGGGTGAGAAGGAAGGATAAGTTCTGGAATGAAAGAATGGAGAGATGGAAGACAGATTCAGATGCCGGCAGAGCTATCTAGATTCCTCCCAGTTAACTTGCTTCAAAAGTCTGCCAGACCCTGAAGAATGTTCATACCCAGTGCCAACCTTTGGGGGTGGAGGGCAGAGAAACCATTCACTCCCCTTTCTTCAATGTGCAGATGAGATAAGGGATGTTCCCCAGAGGAATGTGCTAAAGCCATAAGCAACAGGGAACAAGGAAAGAGACCAGGAATTCCAGCTCTCAAATTCAGGTTTTGCCCTCAGCTGATTCCATTCTATAATCAGTAGTGTCCTAGAAGGTTCCAAGTGCAGGAGTGACAGGATCAGACATTAAAGGTGCCTCTATCAAATCCAGAAGTAAAGTCATCCACATACAGTCAGTGACAAAGGACCACAACACATTCAATGGAGAAAAGATAGTTTCTTAAACAAATGGTACTCACAAAACTAGAAATCGATTTGTGGCTAACGAAACGAGACCCTTATTTCACACTGTATCCAAATATAAATTCAACATAGAAAACCCAGAACTATAAAGATTATCAATGAAAATACAGGGACAAACTTAGTGGCTCTGATGTTGTTGTTATTAAGTGCATCAAGTCAGCTCCTACTTATAGCGACCCTGTATAGGGTTTCCGAGGAGCAGCTGGTGCGTATGACCACCAACCTTACAGCTCATGCAGAACTTGTGGCCTAGTGCTTTATCCTACAGTGCTACACCAGGACTTTGATACATGGCATAAATACACTATCAAACACAACTAAAACACATAAACAGCAGAAGACAAAATAGATAACTGGCACCTCTTGAAAATTAAGACACTTATGTGCATCAAGAGATTTCACCAAAAGAGTAAAAAAAGAGCCCACAGTCTAGGAAAAAATGTTTGTTTTTTTGCAATGACATATCAGAAAAAAAATTAATCTCTAAAATTTATAGAAAACTTCAATATTGTTGCTGCTAAGTGCCATCGAGTCAGTTCCAACTCATCGCAACCCTGTATAGCGTTTCCAAGGAGCAACCGGTGAGCTTGAACCGCTGACCTTGTGGTTCGAACTGATTTTGCAGTCCAGCACATTAACCCACAGCATCACACCAGGAATAAAAAGACAAATAATCCAGATGAAAAATGGGCACCGGACATGAACAGGCACTTCACCAAAGAAGACATTAAGGAAGCTAACAAACATGAAAAAAATTTCAAGGTCATTAGCCATTGTTGTTGATTTGTATAAAGATGAAAGTCAAGACAACAATGAGATATCATCTCACTCCTGTATTAATAGCAAAGTTATGGGGAAAAAACAAAACACTGAAAACAAATGCTGGCAAGGATGTGGAGAGCTGGGTCCCTCCTACCCTGCTGGTGGGACTGTAAAATGATGCAACCACTGTGGAAAACAGTATGACGCTTCCTCAAAAAGTTGGAAACAGTAATACCTTATGACCCAGCAATCGCTCTACTTGGCATATGTTGTTGTTAAGTGCCTTCAAGTTGATTCCGACTCACAGCAACCTGTGTAGGGTTTCCGAGGGGCAGCTGGTGACCTTGCGGTTCAAACCAACCTTGTGGTCCAGTGCATTATCCTATACTGCCATGCCAGGACTCCACTTGGTATATATCCCCAAGAATTAAGAGCCATGGCCTGAGTAGATATGTGCACATCCATTTTAGCGCTATTCGCAACAGCAAAAAGACAGAGACGATATAAATACTCATCAATGGAAGAATGGATAAACAAACTTTAGCATATACACAAAATTGTTGTTGTTACTATGTGCCATGGAGTTGGTTCTGACTCACAGAGACCCTGTACAAGGTTTCTAAGGCTGTAAATCTTTACGGGTGCAGAAAGCCTCATCTTTCTCCCATGGAACAGCTGGTAGTTTTGAACTGCTGACTGTGAGGTTAGCAGCCTGATTCGTAACCACTATGCTACCAGAGCTCCTTGACATACACAGAATAGAATACTGCAAAACACTGAAGAATAATGATGAGTTTGTGAAATACCTCACAACAAGTTTGAACCTGTAGGACATTATGCTGAGTGAAATTAGTCGATCACAAAAGGATAAATATTGTATGACACCACTAGTGTAAAAACTTAAGAAAAGGTTTCGTGCTAAAAGAATCATTCTTTGATGGCACCAGAAGTGGGAGGGAAGGGAGAGCAATTCACTGGCTAGAGGGTTGTTGTTGTTAAGTGCCAAAGTTGGTTCCGACCCATAGCAACCCTGTATAGAGTTTCCAAGAAGCAGCTGGTGAGCTTGAACCGCCGACCTTGCAGTTCAAACTGACTTTGCAGTCCAGTGCATTCACTCATAGCACCACATGTTAAGTCAGGTGATGATGAAGATGATGAAGACAGGGAAGAATACAAGGATTCTAGAGGGGATAGAGGTGAATACTATTATATGCACAACTCTGCAACAACAGTGTTCTATGGGTGGATACATGGACAGATATACAGGCTGAATGGGTATGGGAGGGAGAACGGGAGTATATGTGCAAATATATGTGTTTGCCAGACAATATTTGTACATGGGTATTATCTTTGTTGCAAACACACCTATGAATGTGGTGGAGCATACAGGTAGGAAAATTATGAAAACTTCTTAGACATTATCAACTACCTTGAAGCAACGAATTGCTGGGCCTGGGGGACCGCAGACTCAGAAGACATCATGGTCAACTGGAACAGATAATGTCCTACATCCTACTTTGTTGTATAGTGACTGGGAACCTAAAAGCTCTTGAGTGGCCATCTAAAGGTACAACTATTGGTCTCTCCATGTGCAGAGATAAGAATGATAAAAATTAAGACACTTGGAATTAATTAGTTCAATAAACTAATGAAACATCAGTCTCCACAAGTCTTGAGATCAGAAAAACTAGATGGCATCCAGCTACAATGTAAATGCAAAACTACTGTTCTGAAAGGGATCACATTTGAAGGTCCTGGATGGTAAGTGCCATCAAGTCAGTTCTAACTCATAGTGGCCCAGTATGGATTTCCAGGTAGCAATTGGTGAGTTTTAACTGCCAACCCTGCAGTTAGCAGTCCAGTGCTTATCCTATAGCACTACATGAGGACTCCCCTAACAGAGTGGGAGAAGATGTATAATAAATCTCAAAATTATAAATAAGACTGGCTTACTGATCAGAAAGAGACTGAAAGAACCTAAGACTATGACCCTCAGCCACTCTTCAGGTCTGGAAAAGAATTCACCCTCTTTGCCAGCTCTACTGAACTTTGTTCTTAGGTAAATGTTGCCCTTTTGATCTTGAATGACTGACCATTCCTTAATGAATTTACATTACTAGTGTTGTTGTACCAAAGAGGGTGGAATGTAAACAAGAACCAAAGGAAGGCAGACCAGCCCAGAGCGAGGAACAGAAGATACGTCTTGAAAGAAAGATCAGCAGAAAAATACAAAAACAAAAATGGCAGTCTATTTGGCAAGCAAGCTGTTCACTGGAGAGCCATCAAGGCAAGCATTCAAAGTCCCTTCAGGACAAACCCCTCTCCAAGACTGAAAATCAAAGGGAACACACAAGCAGGCATGTAAACTCACTGGTGACTGTGTGGTCTGGTGAGTGGAAGTGAGGGAGAGGCAGTAATAAAGACATGGGCTGAGCTCAACCATGTTCCATAGATTCCTGTCGGCCTTGAGATGAGAGAGAGAAGAAGGGGCCCTCCCTTAAGATTAGTCTGAAGCTTGGGGAGACGGGAACTCCTAAGTCTATGGACCTAGACATAGAGGGCTAAAGCTGAGTGAAGCGTTCAACTTATATGAAGTGAGGGGAGAGGTCCAAGAACACCCAAACTTGCAGATAGTACCCATTTGACCTAGCTTTGATGGCTTGATGATCAGAACTCAAATAAGAGGTAGCTAAAGAAAGGAGCTCTGGTAGCGTAGTGGTTACGAATCGGGCTGCGAACCTTAAGGTCAGCGGTTCAAAACTACCAGCCGCTCCGCGGGAGAAAGATGAGGCTTTCTACTCCCGTAAAGATTTACACCCTCGGAAACCCTGTACAGGGTCGCTATGGGTCGGACCCGACTCGATGGCACTTAACAACAACAACAACAAAGAAATTTGATAAAGGAAATAAGTGTAAATCACTACAATTTGATGAACTCGACCTACATTTACGGATGTAGTAGCTAAAAATACCAACTGAGAGGGAAGGAGTCTCTATATCAAGGATCAAACCTATCCCCTCTGTACACAATGTTAATAGGGACAGGCAACTTAGACACTGGCTACCTAAAATGGGGGGGGGGGTACCTATAAAGGCATGAAATGGCTGGCTTACAAGTTTTCAAGAGGGAGTTTAGTTTCAAAGTGTGCAGGGGAAGGTAGACTCCCCACTGAATAGATTTCCTCTTGTCTAGATAGGTCTGGTGAAAGGAGTTGGAGATAGTATTCTTTTGATTCAATAGTGAGTAAACTGTTATCATGACTAATTACAACTGTCACAACTGTACAGGTAGAAGCTGTGTTAACAAAAAGGGGGCAGTAATTAATTTTACATTCCAGGAACAGAGGAACCTAGGATCATCAAGAGAGAAGAGCATAAGCGGAATGTGGGACTCTATCCAGAGAAGCAGTGACACCAGAGATGGAGGTAAAGATGAGGACATGGAGAGAGGGAGCAGCTGAGGACTCTAGACTCATGGAAAGAGAAAGGCTGTGTGCTGGCGGCCCAGAGGCAGGCTTGCAGAATGTGCCCTTTAGTTGTTTAAACAATTATATATTACTGAGCGTTCTTGTGTACATAAAAATAAAAATTTTTGAACTGTTGCATATATTAAATGAATGAGAGTGAGTTAGGATTTCTGTATCCTTTTTGTTACAGTAACTTATGCATATATCATAAAACTGCCTTCATTACTTGGAAACTTTAAATTGTAGGTGGTGAATATTATTACATACAAAAACCTTAGCTATGTAACTAACTACATTGAATCTGGCTGGAAAGCATTCAATGGATAGATGTATGTAACCCAATAAAATGGGGTACAATCATATAATCCCGGGCGGGAGGAATTAAAGTTTATACAAAGTTACTATGAGTCAGAACCGAGTTGGGTCCTGTATCTCCCTTGTACAATCCAAAGCAATATTTTTATCAACTATTTCATAAGTGCAACTTTTTTAGTTGTTCTAGAAACATTTTTTTTAAAGGAAGAAATCCTACTTCATGCCATTTTTAAAGTGCAAATGCTTCTTTTTACAGAGGTGCAATCATTTGCTTGTTTGCTTTTTTGGTACAACCAGAAAACAGTGGGATGTTGACTTGTGGGAAGTTTTGATTAATTTTAGAGTCAATTTAGCATTCCCCTAGGGGAGGAGTAGTTTATATCCCATAACACAGAGCATACTTAATGGTAACTGGGAATCAGAGTCATGAATTTCTATGACTTGAACATTTTCAATTGTATTTCCATGCTGTTTGTTAGTAGAATAGTTTCACTCATCTTGGTGCGCTCTGGATCATTGCAATCCACTTTTCCTCTTAACATTGTCATTTGCTGTGAAAGGTTAAAAATTTGAGTGTGAAGTGTGTGCGATGTTAAATTGTGAATTAGCAGGACTTCGGCAATTCAAGCTCACCAGGGACTCCTTGGAGACCCTATACAGGGTCGCTATGGGTTGGAATCCACTCGACGGCACTTAACAACAACAAAATTACTGTCTACAATTGAAGATACTGGTACTTGACATCCACTTAAATTTAAAAGAATTGTAACGACATGGCACTTCAATCAGATGTTGCCCGCAACATTGAGGCAAGTACCCCACCTACCCACTCAATACATCCCAGGCATGCCCAGACTCAGGGATTTCCCCCAAGGGTTCGTCTCGTCCGAAGGGCCCACTCACCTTGGTTTGTAAGCCCGCCGAGGGCCGGGGCCGTGAGGTTAGGGGCCCGAGGACCGCGGGCATTAGGGCCTCCTCGGCCCACTCGACTTCCTCGAACATGAGGGCGTAGAGGGCCGGAGTCGGGGAGTACCGCGTCCCTCCACGTGCGATTGCGTTTCCAGGAATCAGCGTGCCTACAACGCCGGGTCGGAGCCGGAAACCGAAGCGCAAGCCAGAGGCGGCTAGAGCGGCCGGCGCAGCGCCGGAAACCATCGAGTTTCGACAATAGAGAACTAGAAGGGCCAGGGAGGGGCGGGAAGGGAGGGAGGGCGGCCCGCGCTGGCCGGCTAAGGCCAGGGGCGGGGCGGGGCCGGGTGGCGGGCGCGGCCGGACGGGAGTTCCCCGGAGAAGGTTCCTCAAGCCTGAGTCCCGGTGAGTGCGGGGACCACCCGCGCCCTTCCCCAAAACTCGGGCCCTGCCAGCTCGTCACCCCTCACTCAGCCTGAATTCTGAGGCGGGAGCCGGGGGGCACACCCGGGGATTCCCTCCTGCAGGGTGTACGGACCTCACCAATCTGGCTCCCACCCCTAGGTCGGCTTGCGGGTGGGGTCTCCGCGCTGTCCCTGCGAGATTCCTGCGGGAGATACCATTGCCTGCTCCCGAACCCTCCTGGACTTGCCTTCTCCTCAAGCCCAGGGGTCCCTGGGATCATCCCGTTGCTCCAAACTCTTTTCTGATCCGACGAGCCGTGGCCGCTGCGCCCAGACGCTAGCCCCCAACACGTATTTCTCGTGGGGGACAAAGCTTGGCCCTCACCCCTCTCCTCCGGGGCCTCCCACAGTCCCTAGGCTGACCCAGTCCCAGGAACTCCACGCCGGGACGCTGCTATGGACGACATTTTCACTCAATGCCGGGAAGGCAACGCGGTTGCGGTGCGCCTGTGGCTGGACAACACCGAAAACGACCTCAACCAGGGGTGAGCTCACGTCTGTGGGGGTGGCTGGTTTTGCTATCCAGTGTAGTGTTAACCACAGCTGGTGGAGGGCAGAGGGGCTCCACAAAAGTTGCAGTATTGCGGCTCAATCTTGACAGCTGATTAAGTTTCACGGGCAAAGTCGGCCCAAGCCTTCCAGCCCCGGTGAGCTGCACGGCCAAACAGCGGAGAGCCAAAACACAAACCAGAGAGTTCCAAGAAATTGTCTGGAATTCCATATGGCTGGAACATAGTGTATTGTTTCTGTGGGCTCCAGCATTGGGTTACAAGAGGAGAATGACAGGCGATAAGGTTGGAGGGATCAGTCATCATGCAAGGATACTTAGGCCATGACAAGGTCTTTAATGTAAAAGCAAGCATTTGAAGCTTTGAAGGCACTTCAAAGTCCGTGGTCTTTTCATTTAACTTCTTGAGGGAGATCTGTATAAGCACTGGATTGTGAACCACAAAGTTGGTGATTTGAGTCCACCAACAGCTCTGCGAGAGAAAGATGAGGCTTTCTGCTTCTGCAAAGATTAACTGCCTCCGAAATTCTATACAGGGTTACTGTGAGTCGGAACCAACTCCATGGCACTTAGTAACCACCAACTTTTTGAAGCCCCCTGTGTGATACATAAAGGGCAGGCAAGAGTGGATCTCGGGAAGCTATTCCAAAAGTGGCCAGTGGTTAGTCTATAGAATGGGACCAGTTGAAAAAAAGTGATCAGATTCCAAATTTATTTAGGGTGAAGAATCGGTGGGGCTTCTTGGGGAAGTGAACAAAGTCAAAGATGTCTTGGGTTTGGGCTTGGACACTTGGATAGTAGCTCCTTTTATTGAAATGGAGAAGACTTAAGGAAGTAAAGTTCCATTCTGAGTATGACAATACAGTAAGTTGTTGGTTATGCAAATTTGGTGTTCAGAAGAGAGATCTAACTTGGTGACATAAATTAAGAAGATATTAGGACATAGAAGGAGAGAGCCTTGAGGAAGGGAAAATGAGAGGGCCAGGATAAGCTTGCAACAAGACTGAAAAGAAACAACCAAAGGTTGAAAGAGAAACAAAAGTGTGTTAGTAAAGCTTCTAGAAGAGAATGCTTCAATGAGCAGGGAAGAGTAGTGATGTGTTGCCGTTCACTGGAATTCTATAGATAGGTTGTTTTAAAGTAAGTTGAATTTACAAGTATGATGTATGTGCTGATCTTGGTGAGAGCCATTTCTGAAGAAAAATAAATTAACACTCTACTAGATTCATACATTTTAAGAAAGTGTACTGAATATTTCATGTGTTGTGTGCTCTATGCAGATATGGTGATTTTTGCCTCAAGGTAGCCCACTTGTGGCAGGTTAAAAATGAATGGAAGGTGAGAAAAAAAATGAATGGAAGGTGAGAAAAGAGAAAGTAATGTAAACAAGTTCTTAAGATCATCTTAGATGGGGAGGCGAGAAAAGCAGTAATGATGATTCAAAGAGGATTATCATTTTTTCTTAAAGGTTGGGGGAGTTTAGTTTTTACATTTGAAAGTTTAGAAGGCTCCAAGTTTTACTGGTTACCGTGAGACCACATAATTTGCGAAGTATGTTTGTTTTACTTTTCATATTTCACAAAGGGTGCTTTAAAAAACCAGGAAGCACCAGTATTATTTTGTTGAACAGAGACTTAGGCATCTAGAGGGACTCTGGTTCCAAAAGGTGGAAGGGCGGCATGAGGGAAGCAGGAGGCTTTGGTGCTGGTTTAAGGGTAGACTTTGGGTCCTAAACAAGTTATATATTGGGTATGAGGACTTGGGGGGCCTAACTCCCTATGAGCATCTCTGGGATAGGAAGCACCGACTCTGAGGAGACAGACAGCTGGACATTGGGCAGAACCTGTTGTCCATACTTTTGCTCAGTCTGGTCTGCCGTGGGGCCACATACGGTGAAGCCGTGAAGCCCTTAAGTCAGGGCACAAATTAAAGAGCTGGGAGGCAAGAATAACTGATAAGCAAGGGGTGGGAAATGCTTGGGAGGGAATACCCACCGCCGCCGGGAAAGCTATCGGCTGTGTTGGCAGATGAGGGCAAGCTGTGGGCGGGAGATCAGTAAATTAGCGGCCACACTTTCCACCCCCATCTGCGGTGTGTGTGTGTTGGGGGGGTGTCTGGGTTTAAGGAGCCCATTGGGGTTGCCAGGCCCCGCCTAGAGCCCCCGCACGGGAAGTGACCGCAGCAGTAAGGCATCTGGAAGCTGCCAGCACAGACCTCAGCCCGCCCCCTGCTCCGCCTCTTAGATCTGCAGCCTAGGACTAGAGGGAATTTCCTTTTATGGCCCCAGGCTGTCAGGCAGGCCCAGCTCCCACCCATTTGCTTTGTTTTTAATATGCTTTTTCTTTATAAAACACATGCCCTTAAGACAAGAAAAAGTCAGATACAGTTTTCTTAGTAAACCAGCAGTTCTCATTTCTTTTCACTGTTTTCTGTGCCTAGGATTGTTGAGTAGGGAAATCCGTTTTATGTGGTGGTTTGTTATCTGCCTCATCAGTAATGGCATCAAAAGCAGCTGTCCTTTTAATGGTAAACCCTTCCAAAACGTTATTTAAATTCCATCCATTTTTAGATTTTTATTTCAGTACCAGAACCAGTCAGTTGTGGTCTTCCTTCTCCAAGACACCCTCCCCCATTAATTAGCATTTGCTGAATTACCTGCTGTCATTCAGTCCCTCAAGATGCTGTATACAGTTTAATAGGCAAGACAGCCACATAACAAGATTTTTACAGCCCAGTGTGATAAGTGCAGTACATAACAGAAAGGTAAAAGAACCAACACTGCAGGAGCTGGGAGCTGGGTGTTCAGGACCAAGGTCGGGATACCAAGGTCATCTGGCATAACATAGACCACAAAGGTATACCCTACTTTGATGCAACTGGGGTTTCAAAAGCTTGTAAGTGATCATCAAAGGTACAACTATTGGCCTCAGCCTGTCTGGAGGAATAGAGTGAAGAAAACAAAGACATGGGGAAATAATTAATCCAGTGGACTGATGGACTATGCAAACATCAGTCTGGACGACCCTGAAACCAAACAGCAAGATGGTTCCCAGCTACCAATTGTTCTGAAGGGATCATATTAGAAGGTCCTAGATAGAGTGGCAGAAAAATTGTATAACAAAATTCAAAATCATTAAAAAGACTAGACATTACTGGTTAGACAGTTACTGGTAGAACCCCCAAGACAGGGGCCTTAGTCACCCTTCGGGTCTGAAAGTGAACCTGCCCCATGGCAGTTTTCAGCAAACCAACAGACAGGAACAATAGCACTAAGGAGGTATGCACCACTTAGGATAATCAACAATTTGAGATCAAAAGGTAGCATTTACCCAAAGACAAAATTCAGGTGTATAAAGGGAGAAATGGAAACAGAAAATACAGGGAGGAAGTGGAAAAAGTGCTGTTACATTGCAGGGATTGCAATTAATGAGATGAAACAAAGTATGTATGGATTGTTGAGTGAAAACCATAGCTGCTCTATAACCCTTAACCCAACTCATGAAAGCAGTTTGTTTAATGGTCAGCAGTTTGTTTAATGGTCATGGAGGTGGGGATGGCATGGGAAACCAGATGGAGAGTACTCCCATTTAATGAGACAGGGAGTACCAGGGAATTAAAGATGGTTGTGGGATGAGGTGAAAATAATGGATCATATTGCTCTGGTAGCGTAGTGGTTAGGAATCGGGCTGCGAACCTTAAGGTCAGCGGTTCGAAACTACCAGCCGCTCCGCGGGAGAAAGATGAGGCTTTCTACTCCCGTAAAGATTTACACCCTCGGAAACCCTGTACAGGGTCGCTATGGGTCGGACCCGACTCGATGGCACTTAACAACAACAACAACATTATGAATTTTAAGTTCCCCTTGTTGGGTCTGAAGCTCAGGGCAAGATCTGAATTGGACAGACTTGGGAGTTGTTGGCCTGAATGAGAACTGAAGTCACAGAGAGGTAAGGTTTCCCAAGAACAATATAAAGAGTTATCATCAGTGTCTCCTGGATGGAAGCCTCTACTGCATCCTACCTTCAGATCCCTGACCATGCCCCTTCCTCACAGGGACGATCATGGCTTCTCCCCGTTACACTGGGCTTGCCGAGAGGGCAGATCTGCTGTGGTAGAGATGCTGATCATGCGGG